CAAAATCTTTAAAAAATAATAATAATAAAAATAAAATTGTAATTTACTTTTTTCCTTATTTCTGGTTTTATTTTTACCAATCCCCCCCTGTTCTTTTCTTTGCCTGTTGTTGTTATTGTTTATTTGCTCAACAGAGATTTCTTAAAGACTCTGTTTTGTTCACTGCTGTATCTCCAGCCTCTGGAATAGTGCGTGGCAGCACGAATCTGGCACATGTTCAGTCTCCTTGTGTGAATACTGAGTAAGCAAAATGTTTCAGATACTTTGCTGGGTGTGGGAAGTATCAACGTGATTAGGACATGACCCATGATACCTTCAAGAGACTCATAGTCTGGATTCAGTTTGTGTGTTTGACTCATTATTGTACTCCCTTTTCCGTAACAGAGCATTTCAAGCTATGGCTTTTCCTCCAAATAGTGCTTTGGCTGTGTCACACAGAGTTCTGACTGACAGAGGTTTGATTACTCCATGCCCAACCCCCCCACACCTACCCATGTAGGCTCTCCTCCTGTCAGTTCCTTCTTTAATTCAACTGTGATTTAGGAGGCAATCTAAAAGCATCCAGGTGGTTGGGTGGTTGTGGCTAGTTTTCTTATTTATTTCTATTTTCATCACGTTGTATTCTGGAAGCATAGAAATGAACACTTTTGCTTTGGGTGTATTCATATCCAGCTGCTCAGGAAGCTGCTGGGTTCTTCTTTTTAAGATCACCAGCACTCTTAAGATTTCAGGAAAAAAAAAATTCTTGGATCCTTATTCAAGTAAACCCATGTGATTAGAACATTTTCACTTTTTTTTTTAAATCTGCAAAGACTCCGTGTGCTCCTGAGTGGCATCTAGGTTCAGTTAATCCCAGGTCCACAGTCTTCTTGGGGATACCTGCTTTATATCATCAGGCCGTGTGAATAATATTAATTATTAATTACATTATTAATAATATTAAATATTGTAATTTCTCAAAGAAATGGTGCTGTTTGTAATTACTTACTTTCTGAAGTCACCTTACCTTGTGTTTTAGAAACTTTACAAGAAGAGCTTGAGATGGTGCTATTTGATTATTCTGCTAATTGGATCTTTATGGGGCTTCTCAATACCTGGATTTAGGTCCTTTATAATAAGTCTGGGGAAAATGTTTTCTTTTATATATTTCCCATCAATTATGCATCACTGTTTTCCTGCTTCTTTGAGAGCCCACCTACCAGATCTTAGTTGAATCTCTTTGCCCTCTTTCCAAAAACTATCCATTTTTTTAATCACACGTTCTTCACCTATGCTTAGTTAGCTCTTCTGTGTGTTCTATATATACTTCCCTGACATTCTGCTCTGTTTTGTGATTTAATTTTCAGATTTGATTTGAAAACTATGGGTTTATTTTTATGGCCTCCAATGAATCAGTTATAATGCCGGTGAAATATTTTTGTTTTGGATTTATTTGTCTATTAAAATCTTAACCACGGGGTGCCTGGGTGGCTCAGTCAGTTAAGCATCTGACTTTTGGTTTCAGCTCAGGTCATGATCTCAGGGTCATGAGATCGAGCCCTGCATCACCTCTGTGCTGGTGGGGAGCCTACTTGGGATTCTCTCTCTCCCTCTGCCCCCAACCCCTGTTGCATGCGAGAGCGCTCTCTGTCAGGAAAAAAAAATCTTAACCCCACTCTCATTAATAAATAAAGTACCCTCTTCCATACTTGGACGTTTTACTTTAAAATTCTACTTGAGGTTCTTCTCATTTCTCCATTTCAAGGGTTATCAAGTATTTCCAGACTCTGGTGACTTTGTTCTCTATTCTTTTTTCTCCGGAAAGGTTTCTGTCTGGTTCTAGAGAATCTAACTTGGGGTTCCAAATCTTGGTTGAGCCTTTGTGCTGCAGACATTCAGACACACACACTCGGTGTGACATTTTGCAGGGGAGGCTCTTACACTGTTTCTCACTCCTCGGTTCTCTGTGACCTTCCGACTTAGGGACGTTCTTGTCGAGCCAGGTGGTCTGAGTAGATGGACCCAGTCACCTCTTCTGGCTCCTACTCCTGTACCCCACATCGAAACGTCCAGCCTGGGCCCCCTTCTCCTTTCACTCTCCCCCTGCGGTGACCTCACTCCACTTGTCTCTCGGCTTGAAGTGCCAACTGCAGGCTGATGAGTCCCAAATGGAGACCCAGCTCTGAGGTCTCCAGGGCTCGAAAGTTCTATCATAACTGTGGTTGGTGGTTCAGCCGGTGGGATGCCTAATAGCTCAGAGGAAGACCTCCCCCCAGCTCTACACCCTCCTTCTCGACTCCCACTTTTTCAGTAACTGGCATCATCATCCACTCAGCTGCTCCCAAAAACCGAGGCATCACCCTCCATTCCTCTTCCCCAGGCAGCAAGTGTGCCCGCTCTACCACCCACACAAACCCCGGCCACACCACTCTCAGCGCCCACTCGCCCCCACGCCCTTGGGTCATCACATTTAACCAAGATCTATCAGCCACTCCCATGTGCCCGGCATTGTCCCCAAACCTGGGATTTGGCAGGAAGAGGAAAAGACACAGATCCCTGCCTTCCCTGCTCATGAGCCGCCCACACATCACAACCCCCGGGCTCAGAACTGCTCGCCTGCTTTGGGTCAGCCTCCTGAATTCCATGCTCCACAGCTAGAACTCAGATCATGGCATGATCCTCTAAAAGCTCTACAGAGTCTTGTGAGGTATACATGCCGTGGCTCCTGCCTGACATTGCCAGATAAAACACGGGACACCCAGTTGAATTTGGATTTCAGATAAATGATGGATAATCTATTAGTGTAAGTATATCCCAGCACTGCATGGGATATACTTATCCTAATAAAGTATTTGTGATTTATCTAAAATTCAGACTGAACCAAAATTCATCCTGCGTCTGGCCCACCCTATGCCTGCCTCTCCCCGACCTCTGCTCCTAACACTTTCCTTCCCTCATTATGCTCCAGCCACACAGACTTCCTGTTCCTTGCAGGCTGGCCTCATTCCTGCTTCAGGACCTTTCTTCTTGACATCTGTCTGCTAAAGTGCTGGACGGCTGGCTTCTCCTATCACCAAGGTCCCAGCTCCATCACCACCTGAGAGAGGCCTCCTTAACCCACAGAGGACACTGGGACCCTCCCACCCAATGTCTCTGTCACTTTTGCCTGTTTTATTTTGTCATAATGCTTATTAAAATTATCTTTATTTACAGACTTAATCTACTGTTGTGCCCTTCACTAAGACATCTGCTCCAACAAGGTCTAAAACAGCAGAAATCTTGAGCATTGTGTTCATGACTGTATCCCAGAACTCAGAACAGAGTTCAGAGGAGGCCCTCCATACATATTTGTTAAGTAAATAATTGAATGAATGAATGGATGAATGAATGAATGAATGAATGAATGAATGAATGAACTGAACCCCTGTTCCAAACAAAGCAGTTTGAAAACAACAAGTTCTTAGTTAGGGATTGGGAAACATAACTGTTTTTATGTAAGATTTTCTAAAATTCCAGCCCCCAATCAACCAAGTCTCCAAGCCAAGCTATGCTTTTGCCTATGAGGGTGAGGACAGACAGATGTGCAGGGGACATTACAGTGTCCCTAATTCTAATTCTAGCTAGAAGTTAACTATCCCGTAAACAGAGATGTGGAAGAGATGCAAGCCAAAGGAAGCCTTTCCCATGAGCACAGAGAAGTCTGCACACTGGGGAAGCTGCTGTGTCCATAAAGGAAGGTGACCCAGATCCAGGAAAGTGGCGGGGGGAGGGCTGCAGAAGCACCCAGTGACTGGGGGAGGCCAGTGGAGAGACTGAGAGGGGTAGTTCCTCCCGGACAAGGAAGCAGCAAAGAACAGGACCTCCATCGGAACACAAATAGCTTGTGCCCAGTCTTCATGAAACCGTGTCTCTTAAAAAGGAAGTGCCAGGTGTTTGTGTGTTTTCCCTAGTGATACATGATTTATAACAACAGCATCAAATAGAAAAATAGCTCTCCAAGGAAGTCCCTAAAAACGATGGCTCTCGATCCAATTGGCTGAAACTGCATTAGTTGAAAGCCAATTCATTGAAATGAGACCTGACTGGCCAATTCGATGAGTGCTCCATTTGTCAAGGAAATTATTTGTTAAATTTACCAAATGCACTGATTGTGCTTTTTAAGAGCATTTACGAGGAAAGTTCAATTTGATTACTGATGATGAAAGATTCTTTTCTGCATATTAACTAAGCCAAGATGGATATGGCCCCAGAGAAATTGACAAGGGAGTTCTGAAGCTGCCATATGTTTATAATAAAATACAAAATGGTATATAGTCCGAGAAAGCCTCGCCCACAGGAAATGCTATTTTTCCAACCAAAATGTTGACCTTTCATTTATGATGGGATTCTTTTGGCCCCGTAGCATTTCTCTCAGATGCCTTTCGAATGGTGTTTTCTATTTTTTCAAGCATTTACTTATTTTATTTTATTTTTAGATTTTATTTATTTATTTGACAGAGAGAGAGATAGTGAGAGCAGGAACACAAGCAGGGGGAGTGGGAGAGGGAGAAGCAGGCTTCCCGGCGAGCAGGGAGCCCAATGCGGGGCTCGATCCCAGGACCCCGGGAATCATGACCTGAGCCAAAGGCAGATGCTTAACGACTGAGCCACCCAGGCACCCCTTCAAGCATTTAAAGTAGCCTTTTGTCAATTCTTCAATAGCACTGCAGCCTTAATTTTGCCCTTCTAACAATTAAAATGTAATTGAATTTGAAATTGATATTAGCATTAAGGTAAAATGTAAAATTCTAAAAATCTGAAGGAAATCGGAATTTTTACCAATTGGTCTTTCAATGAATTCAGTATCAGAAAACGAAAGTTTTGGTGCATTGGGCTTGCTTTAACAAACTGCCATCACTGGCATCAGCTATCCGTGCAGAAAACAGGCTGACTTGAATTTATTTTCTCTTGGAGCCCTTATGTGCTTGTCCAATGTGCCGGGTGCAGCAAGGAGAAAGACTAGCAGCAAAAGTCTTACTGCTGGATCCTGAGCAAGTGTGAAAGGGCCAGCCATGTCCTCCCACTCACCCCTTCCTTCCCACAGCAACTGGCCTCAAATTAACTTTAGTTTAAAAAAAAAAAAAAAGCCACAGTTCGAATACCATGAAAACAAAACTTGAAACAACCACAAAGATTTCTAAGCCCTGCCAACTGCCCAATTATTCTGAGTATAGCAGAGTTATCTGGAGAGCCAGGCGGAGGGCAGGGGTCACTCTAATGAGCTGCTTCTCTCACTGGGGACTGTCCCCTGCCCCCGCCCCCCACCCCGGGGGGGCCACCTGACCCACAGAGCCATTACCCATAGAGCTCCTTGCACAGAAGCATGGTCAGTTTCTTCAGATGAGGGAGGCTGCTGGAGCCCGTCTTCACGAAGTCAGAATCCAGGGCGAGCTGAGTGCTTAAATAATCTTGGATGGCTTTAAGATGCTCTTCTGGAAGCCTGAAAATAATAGAAAGAGAAACATGCTTCTTCTGTTCCTTTGGCCACAAATACCAACTGTAAAAGAAGAAATCTTCATTGTCAGAGTCTCCGGCTGAGACACTGTCCTTCAGGAGAACATGGGCACACTCCTGGATGGGGCCCCCGGTCTTACTGAGGGCTAGAGAAGCGGGTCTGAGCAAGATTAAAGGATGGGGGAGGGAGGATGCCTCTTAACCCACCCATAAAGGCTTTCTCCCAAGCCCATACTTGGAAGGAAGGAACCGGCTGGAAATGCTTGTATTTTACAAAGGAGACAAAGCAACTTGAGAAACGGTCAGCAGACTTGTTTCCCGACCTCATTTACTTCTAAAGACAGCATCTGGGGGCTAAGGGATGCTTAGTGGAGAGATGGCAAATGGCTCTAGCTCACATACCAACTCGAAATTCATGGCCGAAGGCCACCTGGAGCTCTGTGCTGAGGACATTCTGAGCTGTCCTGGGGTCCATGGGGAAGTCTGTGTGGTGAGTGATGGGCTGGTAATATGGCAGTGGGCCCAGGTCCCTGCCCTGGCCCTCCGGGCTCTGGCCCAGCCCCTTCAGTTCCCGGGTGCACAATGGCCCCGCGGAGGCACAGCACAGGCTGGGTGGTACCAGGGCTGTCACGGAGGTCTGATGGTCCCTCTACGTTCTCTTGACCAGACCATTTTCTTTTTTTTCTTTTTTTCTGGGTAACCTGTGAGTCTTCATTCCTATAGTGATTAAAATCAGAGTCACAGCCAATTATCTCCTGGCGTAACACTGCACTCACTCTGCTAAGCACTTAATGCCCATTTCCTCTTTGATTCCCAAACCAATGTTAGGACACAGCTGTTATGATCCTTCTTATTTTACAAATGAGCAAAATGAGCAGAAAGGTTGTTGATTCACCTGGGTGAAAAAATTATTACAAGCCTTAAAAAATCTTTGTTCCAGCCTTGATATATAATCAAGTTGGAGCTGGAGGGCACAGGTTTTTTTCTGCAGGATATTTGAAAGCATGAAAAGCTCCTGCTCTCGAGACTAGAAGGGCCATTGGCCATTTTGACTTCTTTAGATTGAAAACGATTTGCATGCCTGTTGTCCTAGCACTGAACGTTAATCTACATTCCTTCTGGGTCTTGACATCCTAAAAATCCAGCTTCTGCCCAAGTCTGTTTCTGAAAAGGACAAAATCGCCCCCATGGTATTAACATATGTATTTTAATGGTTCTAATGAATGTTGACTCATAACTCTGAAACTACGAGGGCTTGTCATAGGAAGCTATCTTTGTTAAGATGTTTGCTGTAGGAGAGTGGTAACATAAAGATGTGAACTCTGTTCATCAGAGAAGCTTGATTTCCTTCAGCAGTCTTGTAATAACTATTAACTACGGCCTAACTGATTAGACCTAATCAACTTGCACGAAAAATTGGGCAGGTTGTCTTATAATTGAGTTATCTAGAGGCCCCTGGGTGGCTCAGTCGGTTAAGCGTCTGCCTTCAGCTAAGGTCATGATCCCAGGGTCCTGGGATCGAGCCCCCCGCCTTCAAGCTCCATGCTCATCGCGGAGTCGGCTTCTCCCTCTGCCCCTCCCCCCACTTGTGCACGCATGAGTGCTCTCTCTCTCTCACCTGCTCTCTCTCTTACATAAATCTTTTTTTTAAAAAAAGAATAAACTAAAGGCAGTCCTTCGTATAAAAAGCTATGTTACATGCAAAATAGATGGCCTTTCAAACATAAGGCAGAATCTCGGTTTGTCAGGACCCAGAAAAGCCCACGGACAAGCACTGTGTCACCACTTCCCTTATTCGGCCACCATGCTCCATTTACTTATCCCCAGCTCCAAGGAGAGGTTTTAGGAGGGTTCCACTGTCATATGCTAGCTGAGAAGCCAAAACAGAGAGAGCACACAAGCCCCCAGCCGCCCCTCCGCCCCTCTCATGAGGCTGCTAAGAGGCTTGACTGCATACATCATCCTGTCCCACTGGGGCCCGGAGGCCCAAGAGAACAACTGTCCCTAGAGAGGAGGGACTGATGAGGAGACGCCAAGGAGTCAGGAGGAATGGGCAGATGGTGGCACCAATTGGGCATCCTTGCTTATTTCCCCAAGAAGCTCACTCCATCTAGCATCTACCCCTGGAGAGAGATGGAAACTCAAGGCAACTGAACAATGGGAATAGTTTAATAAGTATTTGTTATTTACACATGTCTATGGGGTAGTCATGATAACATACCGATGCATTCAAAACACTGGATACTTAGCTATTTGATAAATAACTCAAGTAATGCAAGGAGTGTGCATAGAATACAACCTGGTGGGCCTACAGAAGAATCAAAGGATATTCAAAGTGGAATTATAAAAATACCAGGTATCTTAGCAACCAGGTGGCTTGTGTGTACCTTCCTTTATATTTCGCCAAATTGGATGGTAGGAGAGAAGCCCTCAAACTGATCCTTTGAGCTAGAGATATTGCATTAGCCCTGCCGTGAGGATATCCTTTGGGGGGGACTTTTTCTCACAAAGAAACAAATAAAAAAATCCTTTAAAATTTTTAAGGCATGGAAGTCACTGCGTACTAACTTATTAAGTCATCCAACACACATCTGGTGGGGGACATGCTGGGCGCTGGGACACAGTTCCACTCATGGAGCTTCCTTCCGGTTGAGCCCAGCCCCCTGGCCTGTCTCGTAGTCAGGGCCAGTGGTTTGCAAGACAACTAACACCCCTCCCGGGTGACACTCCCACTTGCCACCATCCAGCCAGGGCAGTGTTGGGCCTGCTCGGAGAGAAACAGGAGTATGTGCCTGACCTCCTGGGCAGGGACCAGCAGGAGCCAGGGTGGGCCTACCTATGGGATGAGATCCTGAGAGCTCGGGATCAGAGTGAGGAAAACCTATAGTGGTAGAATGACTGTGTCTCCCTTGAAGAAAGGAGCGCCATGCAGTGTAGACCGTGGTCTCTACCACACACGGAAACACCGCCCTGGCCTATTTACTAGTGACAGGAAGGTGCCCCCCGCCCCCCGCTCCAGCAGTGGGCCGAGTGGCAGGTCCAGGCTGCAGTGTAGGCAACTCCTTGCCTTGGGCCACTTGCCTCAGGAGACCCCAAGGCAATAGAGATATCCATGATGGAGAAGGATGCCATGTGGAGTTTATGGCAAGCCCCGGGAAGGGGATCCCAGCAGAGGCCCCTAAGTCCTGGAGCAGGGCCATGCCTCTGCAGCGGAGAACTCTATGTCATTCCAGAACCAGCTCCTGCCAGGCAGCCGGGCTCCGTGCAGACAGAGCAGCTGAGCCGACCACCCCGTGCCCAGGCAGCGGAGGGGTGACCCGGGCTTCCTCAGACCTGCAACGCGTTGGGAGCCGGGGGCGGGGTGGGGGGCTCCAGAGCAAGCTGTCCTTGAGTGGAGGTGGCACCCTCGGGAGTGAGCACAGAGGGAGCTGCCTCTGAGAGGCCCACCAGGCGGGGACTCACCCACTAGTGTCCATGGTCTGCAGCCGCTGAAACAATGTTTCCGAAAGGCTTGGCCTGCTGACCTCGGGGGCTCTCGGATTCTCGCTGGACAGAGGGACCTCCTTGGCCTCACATGGCCCGGCAGATACGGGGATGTTCCTCGGTGGCAGCTCCGGTGGAGACAGGACACCTTCTACCCAAGAGAAGAGCAGTAATGCCACCCGGTCTACGCACTAGCTTCTCTCAGAATCACCCACCTACAGAGGGCTCCCTTGTGGAGTGACCCCCCCCCCGACCCACGAGGTCCATCCAGGCCACGGTGCCCAGTTACAGACCCCATCTGTGCCTGCACTGTTCCTCCTGTCTCCACACCCTGACCGGACGGGGGGCCTGCTGATGGCAGCGGCCTCGTCTTAGCGGTCTGTAGCCCTGGGGTTTCGTTTGTCCCATGGAGGTGCTCAGCAAACACCTTCCAGCTGGGCTGTTGGCCTTGGACAGGTGGAGCCCGCGGCCCCAGAAGGATGGCCAGCTTTCAGGGCTGAGGCAGGGGCCCTGGATGGGGCAGAGGCCTGGTTCCCAGGACAGGGGGAGCAAGGGTGGGGAGCAGGCAGGCCCCGGCCACACTGCTCTTCTCTCTCCCACGCTGACCTCCCTCTTTCCTCTGCTTTCCCTCCAGCCTCTGCTGATCTTTCTCCTCCCCCCCAGGCCCTAGGAGACAAATAAAAGAACATGAGGGGCCCCCTTCACGAAGAGAACTGAAATAGAAAACAAACAACTGAATTCACCCCCGGGAGAAGGGACTCCTGCCCATCTGCCTTCAGGAGAACTTCTGTCCTGCACACACGACAAATGGGGAGGGTGCTGAGCCTCTTGGGTCCACGACCTCCTCCCCGAGCCTCTTCCCACACCAAACGGCCACGCCAGGGCCCCCGCCACAGAGCTGCATGGGGATGTTCTCTTTAAGGACAAGCTCTTCACATCCTCCCCTGGCCTGAAGTTCTTGAGATGGTATGAGTGTATTTTGAGCCCTGTGGGGACCGGCAGCACCTTGAGAAGACCTGAGCCAAATCAGACCCCTTGGGGGCGGTGGGGGGGAAGGTCACACTGCTCAGGTTCAAGCTGACAACTGTGCCTCCTTTGGGGAAGTGAAGCCAGCAGTCACAAGACTGGGTTTCTCTTCCCGGCTGTTACGGAAGGTGCCCGGGGGCTTTCTCCAGATGGTCATCCAGAAAGGCAGAATAGCCAGGCCAGCAGGTGTGAGGAAGGAGAGGCCACCGTGTGTGAAGGGCATCTCTGCAGGACGGCTCCTCGGCATCAAGGCCAAAGCTCGGGCACCTGGGGACAGCTGGGGGACACGTGGCCAAGGCACAGAGCCGGTGAGTGACCTGGGCTCCCATGGGGACCCGTCAGCTCTGGCTATTTCTGATGAGGGGTGAGAAGGGGCATGGGCTGCCTAGGTCCCTCTCGGCCTCCATGAAGCTGCAGTCCTTTTGAAACACTCTGCCTGGCCCTCACCTCCTCTACAGAGAAGCCTGCTCCTCAGTGTTCCTCCTCCGCCCCGGCAGCCAACGAGCTGTGCAGCCACTCAGAGGGGCCTCCAGGAAGGTGGGCGGAAGGTGGGCCAGTGGCCCACAAGCCGGCTCGAGGGGTGCACCTGCCTGGAGCAGCCCGCAGGGAAAGGCAGGTGCCAGCCCAGGGACCTCAGCAAGTCTGGGGGCGACCCTGGGGGGGGACCTAATTGTTTCCAGGCCCTGGGATTTAGGAGGAGCTCTGACCAGGGGAGAGGCTCAATTATGTATCTTAGGTTTTCCGTTAGGAAGTGAACTTCTGAGGGGAGAAGAAGGGCGCCGTCCAGGAGGGTCCGTGCTACTGTGCCCTCCTCTGTCGGACTCCTGGTGATTGCTCTGTGGCCCCCCCTCCACTGTTTTAAGGGGAGGCTGGACTCTCACATACTTTCTAGGGGCTGTACTTTTTATTTTCCTTTTAAAGATGATATAAAGAAACATCTCTCTCCCCCTTCCAGTTAGGTACAAGCATTTCCTCCTTCATTCTCTTTACAGCGAAATGCAGCTGATTATCTTGATGAGGATGGTAGCTGCATTTATCGAGTGCTTCTTGTGTGCTAGGCTCTAGGCTCTACAGTCATTGCCTCCTGTGATGACACCCTGAGAGGTAGATATTATTTTTAGTGTCTCTTTAAGAGAAGTCTGTGATTCAGAGAGGTTAAGCAATTTACCCAAGGTCACACAGCTAAGAAGCTGGGGAGCAGGAAGTCCAACCCAGGTCTGTCTGACCCCAGAGGCTGCTTTCCTAACTTGTCCTTGGTCACCATGTCACCCTCTCTCCCTCTGATAATCGGACCCACCTAATCTACAAGCACTTGTGGCAAAAGAAACACCCCAGGACTTCTCCCCCTTAGTGCCCCCCTCCTGCCTTCCCTTCCATCCCTTCCTACCTGTCTCCTCCTCTGGCTCATCACCTGCATCCTCCTCCTCCAGGGGCACAGGATACTGCAGGTGGGTCACCAGACCCATGTTTTCTTTCTTGTAGAACTCGATGAGCTGGTCCAGCTTGGTGAAGAACTTCATGGGGACACCTTCGGATGCCTGAGGACAGAACCCCAAACTGAAGTACATTTCAACTGGCCACGACTTCACCTAACCACAAAGGCCATCTGGAGCGGAGACCAACGAGGCCGAGGGAGTGACCTCAATCCCGAAAAAGCCCTGGGCTCCTACGCAGTGTGTGTCCACCACACCCACACCCTCACACCCTGTAGCCAGCAGCCCTGAGCACCAGTCTGCAAAAGGCACAAATAGGACAGCTTTAAAGGTCCTTTTCCTTTTTTTTAACTCTTATTTTTATTTTTTAAAAGATTTTTTATTTTTATTTATTTATTTATTTATGTGAGCACAAGCAGGGGGAGCAGCAGAGGGAAGGGGAGAAGCAGGCTCCCCGCTGAGCAGGGAGCCTGACATGGGGCTCGATCCCAGGACCCTGGGATCATGACCTGAGCTGAAGGCAGATGCTTAACCGACTGAGCCACCCAGGCACCCCCCATTTTTAACTTTAATTTTAAAAAGCATTTTATTATACAAGTAATATATTTTCCTCATGGCAAAATTAGAAAATACAGAATTTTTTGTGAAAAAAGAAGTCACCTGTAGTCTCAAACCCCAAGACACCTATTTTTTTTAAATTTTTATTGTTATGTTAATCACCATACATTACATCATTAGTTTTTGATGTAGTGTTCCATGATTCATTGTTTGTGCATAACACCCAGCGCTCCACGCAGAACGTACCCTCTTTAATACCCATCACCAGGCTAACCCATCCCCCCACCCCCCTCCCCTCTAGAACCCTCAGTTTGTTTTTCAGAGTCCATCGTCTCTCATGGTTCGAAGAGACCTATTTTTAATATATGAGAATCAGTTTTTCTGTGTATATGTGTGCGTGTGAGATGGGGTAATTATTTTTATTTCTCCCCACCCCCCAAGATAATTTGTTTTTAAACACAAGGAAATCTATTGTAGCAATTGTTTTGCTTTTATTTTTTTTGTTAAAATTCTGTTTTATCAAAACTCAGAAAATGGTGAGGCAGCACAATATTTTTCTCTGTTGCTGATGACAGAGGAGCCGGCAGGTCATTGTGCAGTGCTGTTCAAATGCCCTGGGGCCAGGTCTCCTTCAGCTTGTCCATTAGCTACAGCAAGAAATGCAAGGGGGGGGCCCTGGCAGCCAGCCTCACCTCACTGAGGCCCCGCCCACACCGAGACGCTCTCAAGCAGCAGGGCAGGATGGGAGAACGGCAAGGAGACTCACCCCTTCAGTGCTGTACCCTACACCTCCTACCCCAACGTGCCCCAAAGTCCTGTCCATCTTCCCTGTCTAGTACCTCGCCTGCTTCTGCCCGTGTTCCCTGTCTCGAGGAATGGTACCATCGTTTCCCCACTGGCCTAGGCAGAAACCCTCCCTGTGGCACAGAGGGCAAAGGTGGACAGTGTGAGGCAGGTGTTCTGGATCCAGCTAAGGGGTTGAGTGGGGTGGCAGCCCTGGATGCTGGAGGAAGTCGTAGCTGGGTTCCCGGGAGGAGCAGTGAGCCTGGCGCAGCTAGACAGGAGAAAGGGATCAGGCTGTTGGTGGGTACAGGGATGGTACAAAAGGACCCCCCCTTCTGGGTGGGGCTTCCTCGGCCTCAGAGCGCAGCAATCCTGGCCCTGACACTAAGTGCCTGTGATTCACCGGCATTATCATCACAACCATCTCATCAATGGCAGTCATGTAATTTTATTTTTTCTTTATTTTATTTGTTTTTTAAAGTGATCTCTACACCCAACTTGGGGCTCGAACTCACAACCCCAAGATCAAGAGTCACATGCTTCGCCGACTAAGCCAGCCAGGCGCCCCGGCAGTCATGGAATTTTAAAATGGGTTGAGAAGGTGCCATCATTGGAGTTGGAAGCCAGGGGTCCAACCACTCCCCTGGGGGCTGCCAGCTGCCTTCCTCCTGAAGGGGCGGGGACGATCACATGTGGGAAAGAAGGCCAACAGCCACAACAGGATGGGGGGTTGGACAGTCTACCAGGTCGCTGAACACATAGGGTCTGGGCCTAGTGTGGCTGGACCATCCGGCCTTGCCCATCTTCAAGTCAGGCACCTGTTGCTCCAGCATGGTTAGGACTGACGAGGGAGGCTGGGGTGGGGCCTTGGTCGGCAGGTCTTCAGGGCTCCAGGTAAGTTGGACTGGGACAGCCCCAGACACGTGGGAACAGACCAGGACTCAGACCTGTCCCTGAGCCCCTGTTCCTGGTGGTTGAGCCCAAGTTGTAGTGAGGATGCATTTGCCTTCAACGAGAATCCACCTGAATTTCACCTTGACTCAGGGCTCTGCACTCAGCCCCTCTGTCTCTCCAAAATGTGTTTGTGTGTGCATATGCACTGCACACATGTAAATCTCTACATCAGGCTATGTATGTGTGTTTGACTGTGGGGTTTAAGCTATTTAGTAAATGTACAGAGTTTAACAACTTTTTTTAAAAATTCTTTCCAACAGATTCCCTGTTGTCACAAAAAAGCCCCATGTTAAACGATCTCTTTCAAGCATTATTGAACCAGAAATATCTGAGCAGCAGCAGCGAGGCCTTCTCAAAAGTAACCAGAATAGGTTCAAAACTAAAAGCAAGCAGAATAACAAAAATAATTTGACGTGATGCAAGATCAATGAACTCAATTCCATTAAAGCAGCTGTGATAAGTGTCATCTTGTCAAAGAATTTACAGTTAATGGAGGACAAGCCATTAGGCATATGGGGAAAGGATATGAAACTATCAAAGAAAGTCAAAGTGAAACAGCTCATGTGTGAGTCTGGTAGAGGATTCTCAGGCGGGAATGTGTGTTTATTTATTTATTTATTTTTTAAAGATTTTATTTATTTTTCAACAGAGAGAGAGACACAGCGAGAGAGGGAACACAAGCAGGGGGAGCGGGAGAGGGAGAAGCAGGCTTCCCGCTGAGCGGGGAGCCCGATGCGGGACTCGATCCCAGGACCCTGGGATCATGACCTGAGCTGAAGGCAGACGCTCAACGACTGAGCCACCCAGGCGCCCCGGGAATGTGTGTTTAAGAGGGCATGTTGGACGTGGGAATTTAAGATGCACTGATGCTAAGACACATGTTAGTTATTACATGCAGCCCTGAAAAGCTAAAGCATAAACTATGATCCACCACTAAGTGTGCACACATTTTATTTCAGAGAGGTTAAGCGTGAAAAAATAAGCATCTTCGAACTGATGAAATCTGCAGTATCTTAAGCATGCAGAGGAACAGGACACTCGAACACGAATCTAATCCCTACAGATCCAGCGAGGCAGGAGGTGGGCGGGGGGACCTGGGAGCCAGAAGCAGGTGCTGGGTGCTGCTGGCAAGACAAAGCTGCTGGACCCTGCTTGTGCTTGGACTGTTTGCAGAGGCCAGGGAGGCAGGGCCTGGCAAACCAAGGCTGCTGGCTGCCCAGGTGGTCCAGGGTCCCAGGAAGGTAGACGGTGAGGGTGGAGTCCAAACCTCAAGGATGGTGGTGCAGCCTGTCTTTGGGGGATGGGCCGGCAAGCCAATGAATGGCCAGCTACTGAAAGGCATTGCTTGGGGAGGGACCCTTTCTGCACCTCCCCCACCGCCCATGAGAGGGATGCACCCAGGAAATGATGGGCGCTCTCCAGAAGGCAGGTCTACATGTGGCAGATCCCACCTGGAGGGAAGACTCACTGTACACTTGCGGGTCAACAGGGAGCAGCCCGTCTCAAGAAGCAGCACATACAGATGCAGAGGAAATGGGGAAGGCCGGGTGCCAATTAGCCAAGGTTAGGGTCTCTTTGGAGGAGCTCTTCACATCAGTATTTGCTCTTGGTACTAAAATTTGAAGGGGTTCACAGAGATGCCTTTAAGAACTTATGTTCAAAGCACATTCTAGAACAGAAAAAGGTCAGGGTGCCCAGGATTATATAAGCTCTTGGAAGCAGCACATACAGATGCAGAGGAAATGGGGAAGGCCGGGTGCCAATTAGCCAAGGTTAGGGTCTCTTTGGAGGAGCTCTTCACATCAGTATTTGCTCTTGGTACTAAAATTTGAAGGGGTTCACAGAGATGCCTTTAAGAACTTATGTTCAAAGCCCATTCTAGAACAGAAAAAGGTCAGGGTGCCCAGGATTATATAAGCTCTTGAGCTGGCCCAGGCTTGGGGTGGGGTGAGGGGGTGAGGACGGTTCAGATGGGTGGTGGGAGGTCCCACCTGGACAGCACAGAAAGGAGCAGCCCAGATGTGGTGTCCTCATGCCTAAGCTGGACGGAGAAAGGCTCTCTGTTAAGGCAGGGTGGCCAAGAAGGCAGGGTGGGGTGGCCAGCAAGGGGGAGGGGCTGCTCAAAGGGCAGCCATACTTGGGGGAGACCTCACAAACCCGGCCAAGCCAATGCCAGGAGTAGGGAGTCGGGTGTCGGGGCTTCCAGGGGAACGGGGCCTTGACCATTGGCCAGCAGGAACACCGAGGTCCCTTGGGGGTAGGGGCCTGGTCAAGTCCGTATCCACATTACTATGTACCTGGGGTCAGGGGCCAGCTCTGCTTAGTGCTGTACCCCCAAATGGGGCTGTGGGGCCTGACAATTGGAGGTGCTCAGCAATGAGCAGCTGGATGGACTCGCTGGGGGGAGTCAGGATGAGAGTCAGGAGAGATGGTCAGAGAGGACCCTATGCAGGTCTGGGACGGGTGATGCAAAGAAACGGTGCGGAGGAGTGTTGGCAGTAGGGGGAACAGCCCTCCACCAGCCTGGATCCCAGCCCTCAAAAGTAGTGCCTTTTCAACAACTTTCAAATGCAAAATGTTGACAAGAAGATTGTGGTATGTATCGGTCAGGTCCTGGCAGGAAACAGATGTCACGTTACACCAGGGGATTTGGGGAGCATCTCATGGACGGGGTGTAGGGGTACCAGCAAGAGAGGAGCAGCCTTCCAGAGCTAGCAACAGGAGAGCAGTTACCAGCCTGGGAGCAGGCACAGGGCGGGAGCAAACACGGGAACCCCAGGAGGGCTGTCTGGCAGGAGCCTGGGGCCTTC